CTTGTGTTCCTAGAGCTGTGCTTGGGCAGATATGCAGCAGAGCCTCAGGCTTCGTGGTGTTAGGGACTCAGGTCACCCTCATCCCTGGTCAGGATCCAGAAACAGGGTATTGCTCTGCCTAAATCCTCTGGAGGTTTTCATGTCAAAGGCATTCTTCCAGCTCACTTCCTGCATGCATACTGGATGAAGCTTCTCAGAAGCTGTCATTGTTTTCCTTTGTGAAGTTACGCATTTGAAGGAACTTGGTGATGGTGCCCCTGTTTGATAGGCTGGTCTGTGAACCAGGACAATCCTCTGGTGGCTGGGAGATGTGGTATCTGCTCCTCATGGGCCCGAGAGAGGCAAAATCCAACTTCCTTGACTTCACAGGAGATACACCAGGTCTGAGGCTACTGAGGCACAGAAAGGGGTCACTCTGCTTCCCCCCTTCTTAGGCCTGCGAGCAGCCAAGAGTGTCAGATTCCTGGGACTGGAAAAAGAAAGCCATGAATCTGCAACCTCGCAGCGTGGGTACTGACCTGGGACACTGGGACTCTGGTCCCTCTGAGGGTGCCTTCATCCTCTTTTTGGTCTAGTGATCCACCCCAACGGGTTGGAAATAATGACAAACCACAATAACAATAGCCAGCTAAACAAAACAAGTACAAACAGAAACAACAACTGAGGCTGGGAAGAGAAATGGCCTTTGGGGATATTATTTAGAAGAGGCTTTAGACTTTGATTTCCTAGGCAGAGGAGATGGCAGATCAGCCAGTGTGACTCCTCAGCTCTTAAGAAAGAGGCAAACCACATTTTCCTAAAGCTTCCTGTAGCTGAAGCGGTTGAACTGAGTACTATAGCAAAAAGAGTAAGGCAAGAAAATGGGGACGTCAGCACAAAAAGCAAGGTTGGAAACCCCATGACTCCACGGTGAACACCTAAGTAGCACTGAGTTGCTGACTCAGAAGTGCACGAATCCTCCTTTGCTCGGTACCACAGGAAGAAGGAGGCTCTAATCAGCTTCCTGAGCCCTTCACTGAAAAAAGATCACACTGGGTGCAAAAGCCATTATGAACGTAGTAGTAGCATGTGCCATGTATTGATACAGCACTGCACATAAGGAAAAGAGGAAGTTTGCCACGGTCATACGGCACATGGAGACTGACAGAAAGTAAACAAGCTGTTGTTCTTTATGCCATGAATTAAGACCTGCGTTAGCTGAGATGTGTGCCCCAGCAGAAGCAGTGCAGCAGGGGGGCAGGGGCAGCACTAGCCTAAGCCCATCACCAACTGCTGGTGGGTTGGGAAGGTGCAACAGCAGTAGCTGAAGTTGTGGGAGCAATGGGATATACAAATCAAGCCTGAGACTGATGGCCAGCAGAGATGAGATCTTGTAGAGACTGGGAAAGGTAAGCAGAGCTAAGGGAGGAAGAAGCATGTCCAGCAGGCCAAGGGAGGTGATTCTCCCACCCTACTTTGCTCCTGTGAGACCCCACTTGTGGTACTGCGTTCAGCTCACAAGAGGGACACAGACCTGCTTGAGTGAGTCAAGAGAAGGCCACAAAGATGATCAGAGGACTGGGGCACCTCTGCTATGGAGACAGGCTGAGAGAGTTGGGGTTGTTCAGCCTGGAGAAGAGAAGAGTTTGGGGAGACCTTAGAGCAGCATTCCAGTGCCTAAAGGGGACATACAAGAAATCTGGAGGTGACATTTTAGAAGGGCATGCAGTAACAGGACAAGGGATGATGGCTTTAAGCTGGAAGAGGGGAGATTTAGATCAGACATTAGGAAGAAATTCTTTACTGTGAGGGTGGTGAGGCACTAGCACAGGTTGCCCAGAAAAGCTGTGGCTGCTCCATCCCTGGTAGTGTTCAAGACCATATTGGATGGGGCTTGGAGCAGCACGGTCTTGAGGAAGGTGTCCCTGTTCAGCCACAGGGGGTTGGATCTGGATGAGTCTTAAGGTCCCTTCCAATCCAAACCATTTTATTATTCTTTGATTATGTGATTCTATGAAGTCTGTTTTGACAAGATAAACCTGAGACCTCATTTCAGGATTCTGTCTGCTGACACCTGCACAGGTTCTCCTGCAGAAATAACTCATGTTTTGAACTTGCCTACCTGAACAGTATCTTCTTCAGTATGAATTAGCTTTGTTTCTGCAATATACTGCATTTCCCTCTCCCCACAGCTCTCCCACACAAATTTAGACTACTTCAAAATAAAGAAATAAGCTAATCCTTGGAAACAGAAATTCATTGTTACGTTTCTCCCTCAGTACAGTATGCACAGTGGAGAAAACAGACCTTTAAACTTTCCCAGCTGTTTGGGAATTCTGTGTGGAAACACGGGAGCACCCACTTTCTCCTCCCCCGCTGCTCCTCAGCTAGGCTGTGGAGCTCGCTGCCATGACACGTTGTCAAAAAGCAAGTATTTGCCAAGATTCAGGATTGAACTGAATATGCAAATGCACACGCATGCACACACACACACGCCAATACGTATTTGCATGCATATTTATATATAAACAGTAGCTATTTTTAAAAAGCACAATAACAACATCAAAGACATCTCGGGAACCACAGCACTCTTCATTTGCCGTACATGGGCCTTTGTTCACCATAGACAGACTGGACTCTGCCTGCTCTGCCAGTGCCAAATCCAATCCCAAATCCCAAACAAGCAGCATTGGTGAGGGTACTTGAAACACAGTACATGACAACAGCAGCCTAATGGTTAGTAGTGGAGGAGAAGAGGAATAAGTAAACACAAGCAAAGTATGATAGTCATTTTATTAAAAACAGATTCATCAGGCTGCTTCTGCTACTTACAGTGGCCAGCAAATTCCCTCTGTCCTACTACACTCGAAGTCGCAGGGTGTATTATTCAGCACATGAGTAATTCACCACATTCTTTCAGGTAATAATCAGTTGTTGAGCCAGACTGTCTTTCATTAAGGTCAACAGCAACACCACTATTGTAGTTGTAGGGCATGGCAGAGCCTCATGGCAACGTACTGACCAGATTAAAACAAGGATCCATGCAAGGATCCATGTAAGGAAAGTCAGAAAGTTCCCATGTGGGCACAGAGGCACATCTGTGGAGGATCAGGCCCTTAACTCCCATTGAAAAGCACAGGAAGGAACTCTGCACCCAGTCAAGAGGAGGACTAGCTGTTCACGTGGCCACCAGAAAAGCCAGTTGGCCAACTGGAATTTCCCTCTTCGTGTGGAATGATAATTCAGGTGCTGAAGGATAATTGGAGAGCTGGATTTGAGGGTGGCCTCAGAACCTCGGGGGACTCTGTGCCAGCTGCTTTAAATAAAACAAGCAGGGGCTACGGAGATGCTGTTTTTATGGCAGGTTTCAAGATCAGCCATGCTGCTGAGCTACTGAATTAACATGGTGTGTTGAGGACATAGCACTTGCCAGCGAAGAAAGCTCCTCTGCTTTTGGTTTTGTAATGTATTCGGGTGCACGGGTCTGCTGTGCCTGTCTCTGTTTGCATTAGGTTAAACGCTCTGAAGTAGATGGGCCTAATTATGGCCTTTCATTCAAGATTAATATGAAGCCATTAAGCTGGTTTATGCAACCAGGTAGCTGAGCAACAGAAACATCTAAAACAAGTATGAGGCAATGTTGGAGGCTGAAACCACGCAATCAGCAGGCTTTCATTGGGAAAAGACATGAGAAGTGCTGCCTTCATCTACGGAGTTGGGACAAAACACAGGATGGGAGAAGACCTAACTGCCCAGGACTGAAGGGCTATCAAACCCTTCACTGCTCCAGCCCCAAATTGATGGGCTGAGCTGAACAGGGAGGCTCGCAGCTCTGAATGCCCATGCTGCTGCCGCTGTTATTCACTTAACCCTGCACTGAGCAAAATAAGCTCTGGTAGCTCTCTTTCATGGTGATGGCACATGACTGATTGCCCAATTCATTGCCAGCTTCCCCTCGGAGCAAGACAGGCTCCTAAGAAACACGTGTGTTTTCCTAATGGCTGGATCAGAAAAGAGAATGCCGCAGCAGTGCTGCTGGGAGTTCTCTCTCCCTGTTTTCCAACACATCGCTCTCGTGTTTGTGGTTGTGCAGTTAGGTGAGACGCAGGCAGAATTTCTTGGTAATTAACCAAGTCTTCACCAAGTTCCTTAATGCTACCCTCTGTATTTTTATAAAGGAGGGATTAGCTGACATGTGGGAGAGGTTAATTAAGAGAGAAGCAGCAATGAAAGAAAAATCAAAGTTAGATTGTAAGGAAAGAGTAGAGGCATTCGAGAAAGGATTTAGGAGCTCAGAGTTTACAAGAGAACAACTGAAATTTTAATAACCTGACAGTTGATTTAATTGGATGATTATAATTTGGTAGTAAATGATATTCAAACTGACTCTTTGATTGGTTTTAAGATACATTTCTTCTAAAATGCTCAGCGTGCCTCTTTAAGCTTGGAGGAAGCGACCACAAGACACATGTAACCCCCACATCTCATCCACCTCAATTTATCAACTGAACCACACTTCCATCTCCCAAGGGAAAAACACTGAAAAGGAGAATTTGCTGTGGGGGACTGCACAGTGCCGCTGTGGGACCTTCTTGTCTTCCGAGGGCATGGAAGGACTTTTTTGGGGAGAAACTTCTTTCTGCCAACACTATAGGTTGCCAGAACTGAGTAGATTTTACCCACTTTGAAAGTTGAAGAGAATTTGTATATTTTCATGTACCCAAAGGGTACCCTTAATTTACCATCGTGATACTGTGGACAACTGCACCACCCACTTTCAGGCTACAATACACTCCCTTTAAAGTTCTGAGAGCAGAAAAACACGATCCCTTCTCTGTTTCCATTTATTATTTTCATCAGGGCAGGATACAGAAGTGCCAGGTACTTTCCAAGAGACAATCCTTGCTGTGAAGAACGAACATTCTTAGCTTCGTGTTGTTATGATTTCCAGCTCCCAGTGCAAAACCACAGAGCTGTCCCTGTCAGGAGCTACAGAGAGCACACACATACACACAAACACACATTAGGCACTTTGTTTTATTTTGCAAAAAAAAAAAAAGTCTTTATATATAAACCATTTCATTCTCTCTCAAAACATTCTACAACTATACAGCTGTTTGCTCCATCATTTGCATAGGAAATACCACAATACAAAAATAAGGGGGGGGGGAGGGGAGGCAAAAGAAGCAAAACAGCAACCAATTTCTGCATGTTTCCATGTACAAACATTTGAAGCCTTACAAAATTATTTACATCGTTTGTCAACTATTTACATTAAGAGCAACATTTCTAACTATAACAAACAAAACTATAATTTATCAAGTATATGTAAAATTGTCTTAAAAAAAAGGAGAGTCTATCATATACCACAAATAAATAAAGACAAACAACAGTTTTAACAAAGCTAGGTTTTCCTGCAAGATCCTTTTTTTGGTATTTTGATTGTCTATTCTAGCCTTTGGTTGACAGCTTAATGTTACAGCTTGTGAAGTCCAGACACTTCCTAAGTTTGTTTGGTTTTCTCCTGTTGCCTGGCCAAATCCTACATGGTCTAACCTCATGTTTGGCCCTCCATCTACTATTTCTAGGCTGAACATGGTGGATCAAAGTCATTGTTAGCATAAAAGGGCACTGCCTCACTGTCTTCAGTGGAGTTTCAGCTACTTTTGTCAGCAGTAAGTTTTCCCCTGCGTGTGTCAATCTCAACAGTGGATTAACTAGACTGTGCTGTAATTTGACACAAAATTACTGTATCCTTACCTTCTAGGAAATTACATGCAATAGCCACACAAAACTAGATCACACTGGTGCTGAACCAGCTTAACGCGTCTGTATATGAAAATTGCATCCTAAATCCTTCTTTTTAAAGTGATACTAAGTTTAGCTTATAGTAAGAGGTTTAACATTCTGTGTTCCTTGCAACTATCCCCGTTAGTTAAGCTTCCAATGATGACTTTACGATTCATTCTCCATGTCTTTGCCCTTTTAAGCAACTTGAAAACAAAATTGTGTTTGAATATTCAGTGCACACCATTTTAGTTAACAGGTACAACACATCTGAATGTCTAGCTCATTTCTCTGAAGAAAAACGAAGCTGAGTCAGTATAGTTTTGAGAGGTATTTAAATAACTTTTTTTCTGTAAATGTGCCATGTTATCAAATGTAAAACAACTGCCTTTTCTCAGATGATTCTTAGAAAACTTTTTGTATTAAACCTAAAAAGCTGATTTGCATATTTACAAAATCTTTGTCATAGCAAACATGCAACATACAGAACAAAATGTTTGTTCTATGGCTGTTTATGAATTTTTCTATGTAGCTTTTTCCACAGAATGACTTAATGTTTAAGAAAAACCCCCACAAGTACTAAGTATGTCCAGTAAAAACCTGACAGATTACAATTCATGGCTTTTCCACTGTGTTTATTCACCTGCAGCCTCTCATTAATTTGTTTACTAAACATTGTCACAATAATGACAGTGCTTTGGTCAAAACACGGCAAGAGGAAAAAAAAAATGTATAAAGCTGCAATGTGTCAAGACATAATACTTGTGAAGAGATGTAACCTGCTGACTAAAGCCATATACATCATGAGAGCAAACAAATGACTGAACACTCTGGTACTGTGATACAGTGTCTTCCCTTTTTCTGCATAAATATACAAAATATACATTTCCAGTTTCTTTCGAGATTTCTTTTAAATGGGTAACCCATACTCAAAAATTAAACTAACTTTAGTTGCACGTCGAGAGTCAATAGGAAATTGCATAGATACAAAACAGCCTCAACGACAAGTCCAGCTTTCAGTTCTGATGCCTCTTCATGTGGAGAGCCAGGTGGTCAGAGCGGGAGAAGCTGCGATTGCAGACCGCACACTGGAAGGGCTTTGCCCCCGTGTGCTTCCTGTAGTGGCGCGTTAATTCATCCGAGCGAGCGAATCGCCAGTCGCAGCCCTCCCACGTGCACTTGTATGGCTTCTCACCTGAAAGAGAGCACAGAGAAACAACAATGTCAGCTGCCACTCTTCTGGAGAAAAATGATGCAAGATCATATTGCATGGCACTGCTCTTCAATTTAAACCAGAAATAAATGACAATGCAGGAGCTGATGCTTCCTCATTATTCATGTATCTATTCAATAGGCCTCAAACCAACACCCCCTTTGTTTTTCCAGCAAATTTTGCTCTTCTCTCTGATCTCCAGAGGTCCCTTTCAATGCTATCAATTCAGTGTTCCGTGATTTAACATGTAAAATGTAAGAAACCTTCAAACATACATATTAGAGACAGCTATGGTACAGAAAATCAGAGAAAAAAACAACCTGCATGAGACTGAAATACCCTCCCTTACACTCATCTCAGTGTGAGAGGGAGTAGGAGAAAAAGCAGCTGAATGGGACAATCCAGCCTGGTTTGTGACTTACGCTTGCACCTTTTTTAAATGAGTAAATTAAATTATAGAGAGCTTTTTTTAAGAGGTCTGAAATGGAAGGGAAGATTTCTATGAACATTCTTTGTAGTGTACAGATTATTCAAGAGCTTCTGATGTGCAAAGAAAGGGGTACAGTGTGTTACCAACACCACACGGATAGTATTTTCTAAAATGTAAGGGGCAATAAACACTTGTGGTATCCCAATTTGGGCTAGCTATACATAGGAGAAAGTACCTGAACAATCAAAGCAGTTTTAAGAATGTAACATTTAACATATACAATCAGGTGCTTACACAGCCATATTTTAGTGCTTGCTGTATCCATCAGTCTATACTGATGTAAGGGGAGCATGTCATCTTTGAGAACTTGCTGTGTTACAGAAGCTCCAAATACAAGTTCAAACTATCCAGCTAGTCTTGAATACAATCAGCCTGAGCACCTAAAATGATTGCATTCGTCCATTTTAGAACCATAAATGAGGTATTTTAAGCATGCCTGTAATTCATAGGTGTTTGTTGAAATGGAAGAACTATAAAGCCACAAAGCCAAGATGACTTCTGTGTAAAACCAGAACTTTTCGCGTGTAAGTACACCTGCTCAGAAGCTAGTATGGACATGATGTCACCATGCAAGCAAGCTTCATATAAATAAAGAGACTAATATTACCTATTTATAGGCTATTGCTTGATGTTGGTTGACAAAACCACACTTCAGTTGGGAGAATGGATTGTTATCGATAGCCTTTATATTAACTTGACTTATTTGGCAAAAAGAGAAACAAAAATGAGTTTATCAAAGCACCTGGCAGTAGCTTCATCTGGAGCAGAATCAGAACAAGTCTGAGCTTTCCAAAAAGTCTTTTCCAACGTATCTTACAGAGCTTCTCACCCTCCATCAGTCTCAGACCTTCACCCTCGGAGTCTCAATCCACAGCCGAGTGGAGCGACTCCTACTTTTCCCTGGTTTACCATCACACAAGCATGAGGAAGAAAGACAGGAGCCAGTATCCTGCAATCAGACTGTTTGTTTTGTACCAGCTATGCAGAGAACACCATCTGAGAAACTACAAAACATTACTTCAGAGGTGCTAATGTATTATACAGATGAAATTATGAAACTGGTTTTGTCTGGGAGTTTCTACTGCTTCTCTGATCAACTAACTAGCAAATTTCTGTCTACTACTAAGAGCAAAACCAGCCCTTTGCTCACAATGGGGATGTGACTTCATGTAGGCAGCACAGGCACAACCAGGACCAACCTCTACAAGAAAAAATAACCCCCCACTCACCAACCACTTCATTGCATAAACAGCGACTGGGATTTACTGAAATCACAGTGGAAACATATCATCCCTTAAGAAAAACAAACTTAGAGCCTGGCATCTCCTCTCACTGAGTTCAAAAGTATTTGGTGGATAGCAAATCAGAACACAAATCATTACAAATTTCTGTCATAGCTGAATATACTCTGTCTGATGCTGACTGAAGACCAGAATGATCCATCACTGAAGACTCTTTTGCTCCATGCAACATATGCAGGTTAAAATACAGATTTCATTCAAACCCAGTGTGTAAAGCATTTATAACATCAGAGAAGCCAGTTTACATAACACGTTTACTCTTCATGGCAGAATGACAGAAAAGATCTTTATTCAGCAAGGGATGTTCTGCACTATATGCATCATTCTTAATGTATTTAAACCGGGTTATTAATGCTGTTTGTAAAGGATTGCTGCTGCTCCATAGGCACAGCACCAGAGAGATCTTCCGTGAGCACTCTGCATTAAAACACACGTGCACACAGTTTGCACAAAACATTAATCCGTCATTTGAAGCACTTTAACTTAAAGCCAGTGTATTTCTTTCTCTCCTTTCTTTCTCCTTTTCTCTCACGTTGGCTTCAAACTCTTCTTTAAAAGCCTTCACTTAAAACTGTCATATTATACTTGATGCTAAACTCCCAGTCTTGTGATCCTGCCACCCTAACTGCCCACACAGAATATATATATGGTCAAGCCTCTACATACTCCAAACACCTGCTTATACACTTCACATGAGGAATGAGAAACGGTAAAGATAGCAGGAAAACACCACTAGTTGAACAGAAACCTAGCAATATCCGGACCAGACTAGAATGGGGACCAGGAAGTTAAAATCAGTTTCCAAGCCTGGCATCAAGAAGGTATGAAGTATGTGCAGTTTCACCATACATACACTGTACCACGAAAGGAGTCTCAAAGCTGTCCTGTGTAGTTGGTACCTCACCCTGCCTGAGTCCAAACAAAACTGCTGTCCCCTTTTAAAACATTTTCTAATCTGCAAACAGCAGAAGCAGGTGATACGAAGGCTCCTAGCATGCGAACTCTCAGCTGCAGGGAACCCTGTGTCTTGCTAGATGCCACAGCTTCCAAGTCAACGCTGAATCAAAGAGACCCCCATTGAACTCCAGGGGACTCTGTTTCCCGGAGACACCATCTAGAAACTTACCCTGCTGTCCTGGTCTCTTCACTGCCTGCAACAGCCACCAACCCTCCCAGGCAGCAGCGCTGCTCAGAGATAAAACTGGGCTGTGCCATGCACTGACTGCTCCTCCTGGCCAGCCCTTCTGCAGACCTGAGCTAAACCGAGCTAAACCCAGCTAAACTCAGGGGATGGGGCAGGGAACAAGCTGGTGCCTTTATACAGATTGTTTTAACAGTGTTACTTTTATGTACTGGAAAGTAAAGCCAGAATGCTGCTTTTAACCCCTTGCTTTGGCCAACAGTGAGAACTGGAAAATGTATTTTTAGTGCCAGTGTAGAGGCACTGATTATTTTGAATAAATCCTAGGGGTAAAATACTGAATATCTATGTTTGTAATACTAGTTTCCGTTGGAAAGTTCTATTTAAGAACTGCATCAATTTTAAATGTTTTCCTTTTGGGCAAGGAGGAAGGGGGGCAAGAAAAAGAAGGTGGAGATTATTTTCACTCCTTTAAAGAAAGCAGAAGAACAACTAGCTAGCAATATTTTCTACCTACCTATATACATGCTTTTTGTCATTTAGCAGAAATAAGAATTTGGTTTAAGCTCCTGCAGCAAGGGAAAAAGAGCCTCGTGTTACATATTTTCTGAAGTGATCCTACTTCTTTGCTGAGAAATCTGGGGTTGAAGATTTATTTTTAAAAAAGCAGGTATACACAACAAGGGACACTGAACCCTTTATCCCTTGTTTTCATTGCCTAGTAATGTAAGATTTGTTTACTTTAATGATTGTGGGAAATACAGTAGCTGTAAAGTTTCAGAAATATTTGGTTTTCCTCCAGCAATTTAGGGCTTCTATAGGGTGTTAAAACCAAGAATGCCACTGGTCATCAAATGCAAAGGTAGTACAACACAGTTACTGGAACACGATCGCGGTATCAAACAGATATTTCACTGTAAAAGCAAGAAAACAGCTAACTCCTCCACTTCAGGGGAGCTTCCACAGGATTTGTTAGAATGTCAACACTGTTAACTAAAACACCATGGAGGAAGCTGGTACCAATTTCCAGCCAAATAGCACACTCCAACCCTTTCTTCCCAAGCCAGAAATATTATACACAGCACTTCTGGGAAACAGAACTGCTTTCCTTTAAATTATACTTCAACAGGATAGGGATTTCATAAGTTTAATTGGATTTCTGCATAACCTCCTTCCAGTATCACTGATTTAAAATGTTTTGCTAGGCGTATACATCACAAAATATATTTTTAAGTTCTTGAGCTGTTAATATGCATCCATTCTCCAGTTTAAAAGAAATACATTTGTGGAGTATGAGAAACAGACTTGTACTTGAGCACAGAAATTTTAAGCCCTCTTGTTTAGTTTGGAAGCTCTTTCACAGAAAGCACGTAGCAAGAGATAAGGCAGTTTAACCTGAAAGGAGACTATTCTGGTAGCAGTGTGTGTCTGTTACAAAAAAAAAAAAACAAACCCCACACACACTAACAAAAAAACCCAAACAAACAAAAACAAAACAAAACAAAAAAACCCAAACAGAATTGTAAGGATGTCAAAAATATGTCTGGACATCCACATATAACATGCTAACCTAACCAGCCACTTCAACAGATAAAACTATTCCAAGGTAAATTGCAAGTTTCAGGATCCTTGTTGACTCCGCAACAGAACGGTCAGGACCAGTGAGGCACACTGTGGGGGCTCTTCTCTCTTTAATGTATTTTTGGGGATTTAGTGGTGTCAAAGGCACCAATTGCTTTCCAAACACTAATTCTAGCCACTAGCAGTGACCATCATGGCTATGCCCGTTTGGATAAGGTACAGTGCCACCAGTGGTGATGGGGGTGACGGTCATTTTGAAGACACTCTGTATCTTCAACACGTAGCCTCTGCTCAAGAAAAATGTTTCTGTTTAAAATCATGTTTAGAAAAAAAACAAGTCACTGAAAACCTCCCTTAGTGATGAATTTCCCCATCATCAGAAAATAAGATTCCTTATTTCACCGAAGAATTGTGTGACTTTATTTCTGCAATCCCTGCTAGGACAGCTTTCTTTAAATGTAAAGCTTCA